TTTCAAGTTTGCAGATAAAAGTTATACAATCTGTACGAAATATTATGAATTTGTAAGGAATAATATTCCTGAAAGAATGTTCGTTATGTATAATTACGAGTACGTTTTAATCGGAACATTTATAAAGTAATGTTATAAAATTACCTATCATATTATTTATTAATTATCATCGAATATTCCACCGCCATATTATTTTTAAATGCATTAACTTTGAACAAATTCTGTATGCATTTCATTAATATCATACATGCTAATATAAATTGTTTATATATACTTTGTCAATGCTCACTTCAATTAATACTAAATAGTTTCACACGAACAATAATACAGATAAAGCAAATATTATCTTTATATAATTAATTTGGCATATTAGATGTATGTGTAAGTACAATTATATCTGTTTTACTTTAGTCAATTCTCACTTTTGCAAGTATACTACATTTAAATAATATAACTGCTTTTTTCCTGCTAAATTATATTTGTGTAAGAAGTCACTTATTTAAATTACAATATTTGATCTTTTAATAGCAAATTTGTTAAATTTTTTATTGAGATGAGTTTTATATAATTATCGCTTTTATTTATTACATTACATTAATTTTATATTTGTTATTTTATATAAGTTCTCACACGTAGTGTTAAATTAATTATAATGTTTGGTTTGCATTATTATTCAATAATGCACAATGTAAACGAATATGTATACAATTCTTTAAAGCATAATAATTCAGTTAAATTTCCAAAATAATCATTTTAATTAATCTATATTACATAATACGTGCGATTAATTTTTAATAAGTCTTATTTCTCTTAATCAATTTTGATAAAACAATGATCAATTTATATGCAAATATGAATGATCGATTATTTAAAAATTATTGCTTTAAGAAACTGTATTATTTTATTAATTAAAATATCTTTTTAACAACTTTATTTGATATTTATGAGATGTTATTGATTTCGAATATCAGCTGTACTTTAACCGATTATAAACACAATATAAATACGTGCGCTATCAACATAGATATTATGAAAAAACAATTATTATTTCTATTTTCTGGAATTAGGCATATTTAAATTATCTTTAAAATGATGTATTATGAATAGTATTTAATAGTTTCAAATATTGTGTATTTACTTAGTGAATAAACTAATGATGGATTGATAAATTTAAATTACATAAATCTGTTTAATATTTACGAATATATTTGAAATATTTCCCAAAGTTGAAAAATGTATAAAATATAATAAATATACTTTGATTAGATTTACTAATGAATTTATTTTTACAAAAATAAGAATAATGACAAATGAGTAATGAGAAGATATTTAATAAACTAGAACTCTAGTCATTAATTATCGACTGTATATTTCGCTTTAGCATGTCATGTAATAATTTGTCATTTAGATATAATAGATTATGACTCGAAGACTGTCTATACATTTTCGAGTTTTATTTTCCAGATTTGACGTCTATTTTTTATGTTTAGCCTTAAATTTATAAGACATTTAATGATTTTAAGAAATACATGCTATTTTCAAATAACTAAAAATGCCTTGAATATTTTATTTATATTATAAATAGTTTAAAGTGACAGGAGATACTTTTAAAATGATTTTTATAAATAAAATGTAAAAATAGCGATTAATAAAATATTATACCTTAAAATAATTCCAAATTCTTTTTATTTATCATATTATGCTTAAACTTCTCGGCTGTTTTATTTATCGAAAAATTGAAATGCAAATTTAGGCATTTACATGTTCGTATAATGAAAAAGAATTTAAAATTTATGCTTAATTTAAGCTTTAATGGTTTCAATTAATTACATATCAATAATAACGATATGAAAAGTGTAGATATTTAAATAATAAATTATGACCGATAATAAAATAATTATTAATATATTTATCAATGACATATTGAAAACATTGTTATATATTAAATCAGACAATGAAGAATACGTAAAATTAGACTTTAATTGAAAAATTTAAACACAATTGATAAATAATTTTTGTTACATCCGTCTGTAAACATATTTTCTTACAAATTTCCAGATCATAAAGACTTCTATGAAATATTATGGATCAAAGCCTTGACTATTACAAACTAGCAGTATTTAACCATCGACCATGTAACTCGAAACCAACCCTCAACATTCACGATCTGCCAACGTTTCAAATGGCTAGTAAATTAGATCTGTAAACTGAAAGCATTGGCATGAGCTTGCAGTGGTCGCTTTTGTAACTGAGCATTTGATTAGCTCAGATCAAAATTGAAATAATCCTATAAAACACACTTTTAAATATTTAATCTTAATTAGTTGCTCTACAATTTATATAGATCTTACTAATATTGAAAAGAAAATCGTGCAAGCAAATCCATATTATCCAAAAAGAGATAAATAAAACATGTGAGAATAAAACTTTTCATCAGAATGTGAAACACTTCAATGTTTTAAATAATTCATATATTTTATAGTTACTAATATATATATATATATATATATATACATAATTAATACATGATTATCGTTTAAGAGTTATTAATCAACCAACTTTTATAATTATAACATTTAAATAAATAATTATATATAATTCGATATTTATGTAATTAAATAAATATAAAGTTTTTCTTATCCTTTTAGGTGCATATTATTATGTCATGATAACACTATAAATTTATTTAATATCTATAATTTCTTTTATTAGAAGAATATTATATATTCTTACGAGATTAGATTTTCTCTACAAGATCTTTGAATGAAATTACATATGTATTTTTCTTTCATTTGATTTAAAATTAAATTTTAATCATTAGCATTATAATAAATTCATAATTTATTTTAATGAAAACTGGAGAATAAATATTAAAGTAGTATGATAATTACGTAAAAATTTTAACAAATTATTTTAAGTGCTAAATTAGTTAAATATTTTTAGTGATGTTTTATACATCATTTTTAACTATTTCTGTTTCGTTTTATTAGGCGGATTTATTGGACAATATGTTGCTGCCTTAAGAAATGTCACTCTTCATATTTATAGTTTATGAGCTACCGATTATGAATTCTGCCTTATCGACTATTTATCTTTTAAATCGTTGTAAATATTAAAATATTGCCTACATGAGATATATACTCTCAGATATTTATATGTCTCCTTATGTAATATAAAAAAAAAAAAAAATTCTTAATAAATGAATAACATCAATAAATATTAAAAAAAAAAAGCGTAATAAATCATGAGAGTACCTATGAATAATTTGTGCTCGTATTATTTTTTTTAAAAAAATTCTCACAAATATTAATATAAGATAATAAATCTACTTAACACAATCATATATTTTATAATAAATTTCAATTCTGATTGAATTAAATTTGTAATTTTCACTTCCGACTATGTTTCATTTTAAAATACATATTAGTTTTTATATTGTTCGATATCTTTATGTATTTAATTACGAAATCGTAATTCATATTTTGAAAAACAATCAATACATAATGTATTAAAATTTATTTTCATTGTTTTGACATTGTTAGATTTTCCACGGATTAATCATTAAATTAGCAATTTTAGTTTTAATTAACCTTTTTTACCTATCTCATCTAATAAAGCAATTTCGACTCTTTTCGACTATATTCTTAAATTTATTGTTAAATGTTTTTAAAAATGTTATACATTCGTTTGTTTCGCAATTAACTAGTTTAGTAATTTTTTTCTGCACGTTAGTTTTATTCCTATTAATAGATTTATGTAGCTCGACAGTTACATTAAAGTTTGTCTAAATCATTATCATCCTAATTATTGCAATGTCCTTTTATCTTCGAGTCGATTTAATTAGGCTTCTTTCGTGTGTCAAGAACAAATCAAATTTGAAATTAACATTAATATAATCATGTCGATTAAGATAAATATTAGTGGTAATTAAAAGTATTCGCTAACTTTCATCTGAAAAAAAGTAAAATAGTTTGCTCAAAGAGTCAAAGAGAGCGGCTTAATCCTATAGAATAGGAATCGTATATAATCATTTATTAACATAATCCATATAGGTTATTATAAAATTTAAATTGTATATAAGCTCTGTTTAACGGTCCTCTCAAGATATTAAAAATATTCCACAGCAATGATCTTTTGAATTTTTTTTTCTTTACACTTAATCGACCGATTTAACTATCCTGTATAACAATTCAAAGAATATCTACATACACATGGTAAAGAAAATTTGGAGATAAAAAATCCATAGCTTATAAAGTAATAAAAGGTATGATTCGCTTTAAGACTTTTATCCCATTGATGAAGCCTTATTATCGGTGTTTAAAATTTTTACATGATAATATATTAATTCTTTTAATAATATATCTTTGTTAAATATGATAAACCTTTCTGATTAACATCGCCTTTATATCAATCCATTTTTAATTTAATAGTTGAATAAACCCAGCCCTTATACAATATTTCACAAATGCACCAATAATTGATCTATCCAATACATATTCGCTACTTCAAAATACAAATCTGCGTTCCATAAATATAAATTCAATCCTGGCCTTTTAAATAGAATATCAAAATGACAGATATATTTAATAATTTTAAAATTGAATGACTATAAGCACATATTAAAGGTCTAATTAAAGTCAAGCCGTCAATTTTAATATTCGCTCATTTAAATACCCGTAATAATGTCGCAAATCTTAATAATTAATTGGCTGCAACGATCCTACTGTCAAAGTCTAGAGAAAGGAGAAAAGCCTACCGATCAACATCTTGAAAATTGAACCTGCGATCGGATTCTCGTCAGTACAAGGCTCGGAATGGAAGGGGCAGAGCACCGGCAGGTCGCTACGAATTTATAAAATGCGCTCGCACGGTCTCGTGCACGTCATTGTCGCGATTGTCGTCGGCGCACGCGCGCATGTCACAAAGGAAATAAATTTTGGCCTCGCAGAAGGAAGAAGATATATATATATATAGAGAGAGAGAGAGAGAGGCAGAGAGAGAGAGAGAGAGAGAGAGAGCAAGAGAGAGAACGTGCAGTGTGAAACGGTACGGGAACTCAATTTTGTCCTCATTTACTGCGGCAAGTCCGGGCGCGTCACGCTCTTTGAGGATTAATCAGCGACCTTCTTCTACCATTGCTAAGGACTGTGTGTACAAGTTGACAATAACACCGACTAAATTCGATTTAATACGTTCAGGCCCTTCGAGGTGGCTGCTGTTTTTCCAATTCAACCATTTTTTTCTCTCCTTTTTTTTCTCCTTTTTTTTCCCTTTTTTTCTTCTTTCTTTTTTTTTTCGAAATACGTGTCACGTGTCCTAGCGGTCTTGTAAATATTAGCACGTGGTTTTGGCCGTAATACAGTGTTCATGTAGAGCCTATAAATCGTGCCGAGCTGTTTTAAAGGTATCAAAAGAAGTGTGAGTCGTAGTGGAAGACATTTTTTTCCATTTTGAAGCAGGCTTGAATATTAATGATAAATTTTCAGTTATTGCAGTTGTGGCGTTCCTATGTAATGTTCGATATGGCGAGTTGAAAACAAACATAAACTTTAAATTTATCTCAATAAAAACGTTTTTCGATAAGACATTTACGATAATTGTTAGATATCTATACTTCATTATCATTGTGATTATAAAATTAATAACATATAATTTAATCAAATTTCAAACAGTGCATTCATTATTATAAATTTCATTGAATTAATTAAAATATAACATCTTTAATCGTAAAAAATAAGTGACTTTAAATATTTATATAAATGTTAGTTTCCTTATACTTTTTACTTTTTAATTGCTACGAAAATATAATACCTACAGATCATAGAGGTACCTAATGTGCCGTTTATTCAACATTAAATACATTTTATATTCTCTTATTAACTTGATTAATAACTTACATTGGGTTTCCTATATTCTACATCCCCTTAAAATTACAATAAAAAATAAAATTAAAGACCTTAAAAGATTTTTATTTTTCATTATATATTTTAAAGAGTGAATAATTACGATAATAAGAAATAATCAGTGTAATTGACAATAATTTCTTTACGAGGATTCAGTTAACATTTCAATTAACACTAATGAATAACTGTTGCTTACAATGGAACATATCAAAATCTTATTTTCATATTAAAAAGTGATCACTTAAATTACGAATAAGCGACTCTTATGTAAAATTTATAATACAATATCTTATTTTATGGATACGATAAGCAAAACTTTACATAGAAACATCATCGATACAAAGTATACATTTTAATGCATTGTATATAAGATTTAGCTTTTAAATGTTAAATCAAAACGTTTACGTCAATATATAAACAAGTTAAATGTTCATTTAACATTCCGAATAATAATAACTGTACAATACAAATATAATTTGCTAAATTACGTAAATCATAATTTCAATTCTTAAACGAGTAAGTTCGAATAAATTATAAAAATATACTATTTTAATTAATCAAGCATTATCAAAATAACTCTAAATTATTCAAGGTTATACAATTTTAATATAAGTATTCGACAATAATATTAATTTACTAAATACATTATATTAAAGAAATAAATTATGCTATAGTAAAGTAAAGGTTGTTCGTACGAGAATGTGAAAATGAATAATGAAAGCAAATATTTACTCTCTGTACATTTCATAACATTATGAAATTCATTCAACTACTGAAATTGAATACAACTACTAATGAGTATTTTTTCTAATTTAACAAAAAATATCATATTTAGATTGAATAAATGCATTTTTATTCAATATAATGAAATAAAATTTCATAGAAAGTTTTCCTATTATTAATTATTATTTTATTAAATTAAAATTTTATTTCACATTATTGTATTATTAATATGAAAAAAAAATGTTTCCTTTTTTTCTTAAGTACATCAATAAAGAGTAAACCTTCAACTATTTATTGATATTTTTTCTAATTGTTTTATGTATTTTACACAATGTCCATTATAAGAGAGGCAAGTGTTAATATAAAATTTTTTTATGTCTTAATAACTTTTATGTCTTAATAACAGATGAAATAATAAAACATTAAGATATTGTAGAGCCATAAAAAATATATCTCGTTGAATTCTTTAATATCCAAATTCTCGATAGAATCTTCCAAACTGAATAGAAATGAGAAAATCTTTCGTAAAAAAAGTTACAATGCATTAAATTAAGCAACCTATATATTTTTTAATTTTGATAAATTCGAAATCGAATAGAAAGTTGTAATTTAATTTTTCATCGGGTAATTATGAAATACATCTTTTCATTGCTTTTTCACAATAACAAACTTGGTTTTGAAAATATTTTAAAATTTTGTATTGAAAATAACTTTTAAAAAATTTATTAAAAATTATAAATATTCATTACATTATTTATATTTAACAATTATAAATAGACAAGTGTTGGAGTAATGTATAAATAAAATAGTATAATTAAAATTATGTATCATGATGATTATATTTTCTAATAATCATATAACAATTAAGTGCATCAAAATAAAATCGCTTTTTTAAATTATTGTTTTAAATAAAATTTTAAATAAAAGATTTAAATAAAAAAATATGCAATATTAGAAATAATATCTCAAATTTCTTTTAATAATTTAAATATTTAAAAATAGTTTTTAATCTATGATTATTCTTAATACAATTTTTTAATGGATAACATTTGATGACAAAATATTTTGTTTTTCTATTTAAGGTAATATAATCTTCAAGAGCTATAATTCTTAAATACATTAATATTAATATTAATAAAAGTGATATATTTAAATAACGTTTTTAAATGCATGTGTAGCGTAATTTATATCAATATATTTGATAAGCCTGAATTTTTTAATTGTATTGTATTATTGTATAAGTATAAATAATGATAAGATAATGCAACTAGGAATAGTTATTAAAAAATAAACTATATATTTATATATATATATATATATAATTTTTCATTACTTTTTAAACTTATGCAATGCTACAATCCATATATTAACGTTATAATAATTTATGTAGTTATTACATATAATGAACATATAATAAATATATAATAAAAAAACATATATTTTTAAAATTACATACTAACTTATTAGAATATAATTGCTTAAGCAATTGAAAATTAAGATTTAATAGCTAAATACACAAGAGTTCAGAGACGTAACTCCAATGGTAAAATTCAAATTAACGTTTTCTAAAATCGAGTTCTTTCGGTCTAATGAACGATTGCATATGTAATTAAATATGTATTTTGAAAAGTATATTCTTGCCAATGCTGTATACATTATGTAATATTAAATAACACTGCTTGTACATTTTTGTTTTACCCCAAGACATAAAATCTCGCATCATCAATGTTGAGGTGTTGGCACTGTGGCAGAGGAGCAAAAGGGGCCGCGGCCTCTTTGCAGACTTATCAACCAGCGTATCCGGCGGGAACATTTGAATTGAGGATGCGCGATTGGACGCTGCAGCAGACTTCCAGCCGAGAACATTGAAAGTTCACGTGACGACGATAGTATAATCGGCACATTTAGTGCCAATCATCTGGCTTTTTTTCCACTTTTAACGGCCTTTTAACAGCCCATTTAATTGCTACCTCGTGAACACGGATACTCCAGAACAATTGCTATAAGCAGGTGTGTAAATTTTAAAGTAAAGTAGCCAATATAATATGTTGTTTTTTTCTAACGTAAAGGTGAGCAACTTTTAAATGAAGTGCTGCGCATTGAAAACGATGAGATTGTCGCAAAATTCAAGTGTAAGTTTTATTTAGTTATTTTATGAAATTCGCAAATGAAATTGGTAAAAAATTTTCATACATCAGTGTGAAATGGTTAGCCGTTTGAAATTTCATCGAATATAAGAATACACTATATATAAATAGATAGATAAACCGAGTCACTTTACAGAAAAAGAATTCATAATGATAATTGCTTGCTTTTCTGATTATCAGCAGATAATCTCTTTGTGCGCAGAATGATTGTTTAAAAAATCGCCAATATACTTTTCGTAACAATTATCTAATCTAAAAGATGAATCGCGTACCTAAGATGATTAGCTAATTAGAATTAGAATAATTACTATATTATTCGTTAATTAATTGAAAGAGGGAAAAAATTAATAATATGATTGGAAAGAACTAATCGCGTAATAAGCTATTTATTCTACAAGTTATAGTTGAAAAAAAAAAAAATAATAAAACAAATAACACTCTTCGCGAACTAATTTTGAATGATAATTCTTAATATTCACAAGTCACGTATATTCGGTTCTATTTGGTTTCCACTACATTTGCTTGGCACTATTTGTAATTATGCAGATATAAATTTGTTTTCCATTTTTGTCTTTATCTATTATAATAATAGTGTCTTTTGCATTCGTTTAAATGTTAAAAATTAACATATTAAACAATCAATGCATTATTATTCATCGAAAATAATAGGTAAAATTGGGAATTAAGTTACAAACAATGAAATTTGTATTATTTGAGAATATCATATGATGCTAAATCTCTTTATAAAAAAAAATTTTAATTTCTCGTCAAATATACGTGCGCATACAATTTTACAGCTTTATACCCAAGCAACGTCATGGATTTCCCATAAAATATTGTACAAACAGGTATATAATATTTTCAAAGGAAATGTTTTTCAAGTACGAATATCCATATTTTATATAAACAATGTTTTTTGATAACATTTTCAAAATATATGAACGTGTCTTTTTGAATCGTGTTGATATCGTAAACGCCGAAGCGTACGAAACAAAAGATCGTCAAACAGTACAGGTAATGTTAGTAGAATAAAACTTTAAAGTATGAAAGTATTTCGCGAATATTCAGATACCAAAATCAATATTAATAACTAGTAGAATATGCTTGCCGCAAAATTATTTATTATTCTTATTGCAACACTTTGCTTCGATCTATGTGTCTAATTTACATAATGGGATCTAGTACACAAAAATCAATGAAAGTAAAACAGAAATTATTAAATGTATTCTGCACATGGACATCTTTATGAAGAAAACACCCTTATTAACCAATTTCAAAAGACAAAAATAGCTAAAACGGCTTTTACGTATACTCAATTTGCTCCACTTCATTCGCCTTATCAAGCGAATTGTTATCCTGTAATTGTTATTAAAAACATTAAAATACGATTATTCGATATCAAATTTTCTTATTCCTTTAATTAAAGATAAGGTTAAAATAAAAATATTTTTATAAATTATTGTATATTTACGAGTCGACGGCGCAAGTAATAATTGTTTAAACTATCGGTAGTTCGACATTCAAAGCGAACTGCTCTTTTCGTAACGAGACGACTCGTGCGCCAGCCTCTCGCTAAAATACATTAGCGCTCAGCTCAAGCAAGAAATATAAAGTAATAGCTAGTCTATCGTGAATATAAATCATGCGCATAGCGTAGATTATTAAGTACGACTAAAAGATGATGATAGGGAGGCAGAGATATGATTGAATATAATGCGTGCGAGACTTGCCGCATTGACGTTCGCTTCGACCTTGATGACAAAATGTGCCAAGGTACGGTAGTCGCTAGACGACCGGTACACAGAATTGCGTTCAAACGATAAAAAGACGAACGCTTGAATTATTTTCTAATTACAAAAGCTACTTAATCGGTCATTATGGCCTCCTCTTGAAGGACCTGCAATACCTGTGTTACGTTATTTACGCTGCTCGATCTTTTAGAGACAAGTCCATATCTCTACCCTCTAACACTCACGTTAGCCCCCCCCCCTCACGCTCTATCTGTCGATCTCTCGCTATATATATATATATATATATATATATATATCACAATCTCTTTCACCGATTCAAGTAGCACCTGACACTTTATGGCATACATTTTCTTTCTTGAAAGCCATTACCTTGTAATTAAATGGACTTTGGGAGAAAGTAAAAGCGCAGATATACTCGTTTCATAATAGACCTTGAAATAACGATAATTCGAAACATTCTATACTTCACTTTAATCAAACATTCAAAATTCTTATTATTACAATAATGAAACCTTATGCTACTATCCGACCCTATTATATTTAAAATATAAACAAAACAAATCGATTCCTTCTAATTCAAGAGAAAGATACTTTAACTGAATATTATAAAACTATATATTATTTCACAATTTAAATTTCAAAATTTAAATGATTGATGTATATATACATACATATACATGTATATATTTATATTTTAATTATATTAAAAAAAAATAGTTTATAAATGCAATACTATATCTATTTAACATTTTTCATAATCCATAATGAAAATAATGAAAATTCAAAGTATCAATAACATTGCAAAAATATTTGAACAAGTGACAAATTCAAGTGACAAATACTAAATTATATTAAAGAAATTATATTTTTCATATAATTATTAATTTTATATTTAATAAAATGTACAAATTTATAGTTAATAATAATTTTATTTATACATCATTTTGCTAATATATTTATTCATTAAATTAAAATATATTTATTCTATCAAATGAGATTTTTCTTAGTATTAAATTAATATTACATTATCGATAATTGTACAATTTTTACTATGCATATGAACAAATATATATGGCAATTGTTCAAATTATTATGCTTTGCATTAATTATATTATAAACATATACTATTAAAATTCACATGAATTTTACCTAGTAATAAAATAAATATCTTTCATCAGTTAATTGATTAAAATAAAGAAATTTAATAGCCAAGTAATAAAAAGGCATTGAAATTTAAAAGAAACTTTATATTAGTCATCTTATCACGCTTAATAGAAAGAAATTGGAGGTCACCAATTAATTAGAAAAATCTAACAGAAAATTTAGGCTCATTAAATACTAGATGTAAGTTTAAATACAATTAATTATTTTTAATATTAATTAGTAGTCTAAAAATTAGAGAAATATATAATCATCTGATAATCTTTTGAATTAGTCTGCGACTTGATTGATTAAATTTCAGTGGTTGTAAATTTATTTCGAATGAATAGGAATATCAAAAGCTTTTGAACAAAAATGATAAACAAAATATACATCTCTATTTTTATATATATATATATATATATATATATATTTTTTTTTTTTTTTGTTTTTGTTTCATCAAATATATAAAAATACCCAGAATAGCCATAAATGAATATCAATTTTGTTAACCGTATATTTTATTATACTTTATATGAGTTTATAAATTTATATATTTATATATAGAGCGTATAAATATATATATATATATATATATATATATCGAGAGAGAGAGAGAGAGAGAGAGAGAGAGAGAGATTAAATACATTTAAAATAGTTTGATTAAATATTCCTATTTAGTTCATATTTTATTCCAACTATTTCAATTATTTTTCACAACTAAAAATTTGTTCTATTAACTTCTTTATATCTTTTAAAATTACTGCTTTGAAAAACAAATCAAACCAAAAATTTTTATAATTATATTCTCTAAGAAAAATTAAATAATACGATTATATTTTCCAAATTATTAAAATTACAAACATATTTTGTAATTATTCTAGATAGTGTTGTAATTAATAAATAAATAATAAATTTGGAAATCATGAATTATTTTACTAAAACATTCGTTTATTATATTTATTTATAACTTTCGGCATACATACAGATCGCCATGTTTACATAAAGTTAACAAGAAAAATTATTTCTATTAAATGTCACTTATTTATAAATGTTTATCGATTGTTTATACGTTTATTTCTGATTAATAAAGATGATAATAAACTTATGTCAAGTGTTTATATTTTTCTTATGGTCAAACTTAGTTGATAATAATCAGAACGATAATTCGATTTTTATTGACTCGATAACCGATCTCTTTTTTAATAGACGTGCTTATTCTAATCGCTATAAAATAAATTAAATCCTTAGTATTAATAATTACGTATGAATTGTAAAATTAAACGTTTTTATTGGGGTATTAAAATTAACCTTGATATATTAGAAAATCATACATTTTGAAATTGAATAAAAAATATATGCAATAAGTTTCATTTATTTGCATATATTTTGTGCGCACTTCTCGAGAAATGTATTTCTTATTGTACTGAAAATATGTTATAAGTACTTTTTAAGAGTTTATATTATCAGCTACATATATGAAGTTTCTTTGGAAATAATTTTTTAATATTGATTAATGAAATTGTATTGCAATCAGTTTAAATTTTCAATAAAATTTCAATTTTTTAAAAATTAAACTATAGAATTCACAATAAAATTGTTTTATGTTATTCTGATTTTTTGTTCAAAATTCGTATATTTGTATATTTCATATTATTGTTACCGTAAGCCCTTCATCTTAAAAATGCAAAATTAATGCAAAAAACACAAGCTTTTATGCAGTAATGATAAAAAAAAAATTTTTTTTTAAATACATTTAACGTTAAAAGTTTAAAATTTGATCGAATAATTGAAAAGATTGACGTAAAAGTTTTGTAAAACGCATTCATCATTCTTTTTTATAAATCTCATACATAAAAACCATGTGCAAAAAGTTTGCTCGTCGCGTAATTATAATGCAATTATAAAACAAAATGTAGATTTTAGTTAAATTTTAGTATTCTACTTTATTAATATACAACAATGCTCATTA